CGAGATGGAGTCCGAGATGGACCCAAGATGGAGTCCGAGATGGAGTCCGAGGTGGACCCGAAATGGACACGAAATGGAGTCCGAGATGGAGTCCGAGATGGACCCGAGATGGAGTCCGAGATGGAGTCCGAAGTCGAGACCGAGACCGGGACCGAGACCGAGACCGAGACCGAGACCGAGATCGGGACCGAGACCGAGACCGAGGCCGAGGCCGAGACCGAGCCCGAGCCCGAGCCCGAGCCCGAGTCCGAGTCCGAGTCCGAGTCCGAGTCCGAGTCTGAAGCCTGAGAGGGTGAAAGCCCAAAGCGTTCGTCTCCCAGACCCTGGGGGGTTTGGTGAGCTCCAAAAGTATAGTAGGGGGGAGGACTACAGTGGAGCCAGTTTGGCCAGGAAAGGCCAGTTTGGCCCAAAACTGGCCAGGAAGGCCGGACCCAGTGTTGGGTGATGAGATGCCCACTATGAAGTCCAAGACTGGAGTGAACACGGACCGACAAGTGGGGTAGCTTGGTGAAGTGTTCAAGAGCCGGCTCCAGTTCCCCCGGGAGATCGATTGGCCGATGCTTCCAGTCCAAGTGTGGGTGGCACTACCTACTTGGATACATGTCGTGGCTCAATGGAACCTCGCTCTAAGCCCATGGCTAGAGCACCTAAAGGCGGAAGGCGGGGAGAGTACCCAGGTGGCTCGCGTAAGGCCACGGTGTTCCGAAATGTTGTCCCAAAGGCCCAGACTGTGGAAAGGAAGAGGAGCAGTCCTCTGGGGTAGTGACCAAAGACACAGTTGTGTGGTGATGAAGTCCCAAAGGACTGTGGGACTTAGTGGTCGGGCCTGTGGGTCTTGATCCAGTGGCAGTGTGGGCAAGCACGGCCAGGGGCAGAAAGGGACTTAGTGGGGACTGACAGAGGGATATTGGGGAAGGCTATTCCCCTTGTCGGTGGGCATCCTAAGGATGCTAAGGAGTGGATCTGAGATGACCACTCACGGATGGTTTGCCTAGTCTTGGAGAGCCAAGATTGTGATGCAAGTGGTATTGGACTACCAGTGTGGCAAAGGTGATTGGGCATGGCCTTAGCGTAACGGGTTGCTATGTTGGTGGTACCTTTGAGTGTCGGTCATGGGATCGGACACGTGGAGCACTTGGACCAAGTGCAAATGTTGAGTGGCATGGATGCCATTCTCAGGGCTAGCAAGTCCCAAGTCCTGGATTGGACTTATGGAGGTTGTGAATGAGACTCCTCCAAGTGGTCGGAGGTGGGGTTAAGTGACTAAAGTAGAATGGAAAATTTAGTCGCTTACAAGATTCTCAAACCCTTCTCGAAGCCTTCGAATCCATAGCTCAATCTCTTGAGCCTCATAAACCTCATCAAGAAAAGGTAGGTCCTGATCAAACCAATGGTACACATCATCCCCAAGATTCCTACGAAAGAACTTTAGCCAAACACGAGGATTGCCATCAAGAGCAAGAGGAATTAAGCCGTGAATGTCGTTATCAACTGAGTTTGGTTGTTCAATTGCAATTGCATAGCATCAAACAATTGCACCAATTGCTTCTTTAGAGTCAAAGGAGGAAGAGACTACTACTCCACCATGAAAATGAATGAAAAGGAAAGAGCAAAAGAAGATAAATAAGAAAAAACCTAGAAAGAAAGGAAGATCTAAACAATAGAAAAGTTAAATTTAAACCAAAATCTTGAAAGGAAAGAGATCTAGATTTTGCACTGTTTAAATTTAGCTTTTCCATTTCCTTTCTTTTGTTAAATCAAAATCTCAAATCTAAGCATTCTTCAAGAATAATAAAAGATGCCTTTCACCTTCACCAATGTGAACGCATGGAATATGAAAAGTGAATATAGAAAATGTGTATATCAATTAGCCCAAAAACCTTAGCTTATATATAGAAGAGAGTGCTCCAGATTAAAACTAATCTGATAGTTACCAAAATCCCACTACACTAATATTAGTATATGGCATTGTAGCCATACACTTGGACCGCACAATATTAAAATTTATATATTATATATACAATATAAAGTTGTTGTATACTATATTTCTATAGTTTGTGCACTTGTTGCATATCACATTTTGGAATTGATAAGTAATATATATCTCAAAATTATTTTAAATTTAATTTTAATATATATTTAAAAACTTTTGTAGCAATAAAAATTTAATAAATTTTTTATTTATGATATTTTTAAATTTAAATTGAAAAGTTTTTCCTTCTGTTTATGGAAAATCCAGAATACTATGTTTATTATGAATTTGAATAACAACACAAAAAATGTTATAAAAAAAATTATTCAAAATTAAAGATACTTTTAGTAACATAGATTTTTATCAAATATATAATCTGAGTTAACTGTTGAAATGACTAAACTAATTGAAGTTAACTTGTTTTTTCATCTTTTCTAAAAATATTTCTGAGAGTTTCATATTACCAACCCTAATTAATAACCAGGTTTTAGGGTTAAGAAACTACGTGGTTTTGCCTTGTTTCGGGGAGATGAGCTCGGAGCTCGGTATGATCTAGGCGTCACCAATTATCTCTAACAAGTTTCTGTGTGTCAGATCCTTTTCTCGCTGCCTACGGCCGGGAGGTAAAGCATGCCAGGCTCCAGGACCGCTGCCTCCACATCCCGTCTGGCTTCTTGGGCCGTTATAACCTGTCCAAGCTCTGGGTCCATCCAAACTACCTTTTCATGGATCAGTTCATTGTGGAGAAGTGGAGCAGGGTCGTGAAGGAGAGGAAAGGGTTGAAGAACTTCCACATCGTCTCAACGCCAGGTATCGGCAAGACGTTCTACGGCCACTACTTCTTTCACAGTAGAGCTCAGGAAGGACAGAAAGTAGTGTGGAGGACCGAAGATGACGTTCCAGAGTACTTGTTCTTCGACTTCTTGCTGGACGATCCTCTGGTGCTGCAATCGAAATGGTATACTCGACCGCGGGGGTGGGACATGACGAGTGCCTGGCTCATCGTCGACGGGGGCTCGAGGGGAATAAGTCACCTGGGGCCTCTCATCCAGTGCGTCTCGCCGGATCGCACTGGCTACTACGAGTTCTCCAAGGACCATGGCTATATATGCCGCCTGGGAGCCTGGTCTCTCGAGGAACTGCAGCAGTGCAACCAGGAGCTTGAGCTGGGAATGACAGACGAGGAAATCGGTGTCCGCTTTTACTACTGTGGCGGGCTACCAAGGCTTCTCTTCAACACGGAAAAGTTCTCGGTGGCCGCGCTCCAAGGGTTGGTGCACGAGGCAGCTGCCAGGGTGGAGAGCTGGAGAAATGTGCTCCACTGCACACTCAACTCGGACAAGGACCCCGCTGTTTCTGATATTCTGCTCCACTACCGTCTTACGACTGACAGATTCGACTCGAACATACCTGCGTGTTACCGGGTGCTGCACCCTCACTTGGTGTTTGGCTCGGACTGCATTCAGAAGCTTGCTTTTGAAAGGTTTGAGGAGCAGGGGTTTCAGGCTTTCCGTGACTTTTTCGACTTATGCCGGGGATATCCGGTTGCAAACACCATGGCGGGCAAAATATACCAGCAGCACGTCCACAAGGTACTTGCCACTGGAGGTTACCAGTTTGATCTTCGGTCCCTGGAAGAGGAAGGTGACGGCGTCGACCTCTTCCGTCGGAGGCCAACGTCAGTGAAGCGGCTGCGCGAGTGGAAAGTGTTCGTAAAGAAGCGCTGCGTGGGGTCTGGTTTCAACGTTTACTCCAGGGACGTGATTCCTGTGGACGCTTATCGTGCGGGGGCGGAGGAATCACGGGGCCTTGCAGGCTTGCCTGACAATTGCTTCGTGGAGCCTTACGCGTCAAACGAGAAATCTTTCGACTCGTTGGTCACTCCGGACGTAATTCTCCAGGTTACAACATCAGCCACGCATCCAGTCTATTGGTCCAAGATCCACGAGCTCGTTCAGGGGTTGGATGAGTTGCATGACAAGCTCAAGCTGGTGCGTCCCAAGCAGTACAAACTCATCTACGTCGTTCCCAAGCCTAGCTTTCAGGAATACACGTACCAGGGCTTCAAGAAAGACGATGGATCCATCTATCAGAGAGATGTTGCCGGGATGGACAGGGTTCATCAGTATGTGATGACTGTTCCATGGAGTTTGTATTAAGCTCTTCAAAAGTGACTAAAACAGAAATCCGGTGGCTCTTGTTGCAAACGAATCAAAGTTTAAACTAAAACTTCCGCTCGCGTTACCTTTGCTAAGAACTTCATACTAAAGATCTCCAGGAGTGAGCCAGAGGTTACCACTTACATCATCTGTAACAATCGAACGATGATCTAAAAACCTCTTTTTTCTTCCAATGCCGCGCGATGTTGTTGCGATTGAATCCAGAGCTCAAGGAGCCACCACCAGTAGCAGCGAGAAAGACCCACGCGCTGGATCCCAAGCGCGTCCACTTCTTCAAGTCCATGCTCAAGCTCCACGGTGACGCCAAGAACCTGGACGCCGGGCGAGCGGTCCACCTCCAGATGATCACCAGCGGCTACCACCGCGACCGCTACCTCTGCAACCTCCTTATCCAGATGTATGGCCGCTGCCGCAGCGTCCACGACGCCATCGCCGTCTTCCACACCGTGAGCCGCAAGAACGTCTTCACCTGGACCATCCTCATCGTCGCTCACACCCACAACGGCCTCTTCTTCGAGGCCGTGGAGCTCTTCCGCGAGATGGACGTCCACGGCGTCCAGTCCGACGAGTTCACCTTCTCCGCCATCCTGGAAGCCTGCTCCAACCTCGGCCTCGCCTTTCTCTCGCTCGGCAAGACCATCCACTCGAGAATCCACCAGCAGGGCCTCAAACTCACGTCCGTCCTGGCGACTTCGCTCATCAGCATGTATGGCCGGTGTGGCTGCGTCAACCCGGCCGTGAAGATCTTCCACAGCCTCGAGAACCCGACGGTGATATGCTCCACTGCCATGATCGACGCGTATGCCCAGAACGGGCATATCGAACAGGCTGCGGAGATCTTCGAGAGAATGCAGCTCCAAGGCCTGGATCCCGACTTGATAGCCTGGACTGCGATGATGACGGCGTATAACCAGCTCGGGCATGCCAGAGAGGCGCTGCTTCTCTTCCGGAAGATGGACCTCCAAGGTCTCGAGCCGGACAGGTTTGCATTCGTCGCTGCTATTGATGCTTGCTCTAGCATCCCGTCACTGGAGCAAGGCACTGTCCTCCACTCTCGCTTGCTAGCCTCGTCGGTGGAATGCGATGGTGTCGTCGGGAACGCGCTGCTAAACTTCTACGCCAAGGCCGGGCTTGTTCACGAGTCGAGGAGCCTCTTCTCGAGCATGAAAGTGAAGAACGTCGTCACCTGGAGTGCCATCGTCGCGGCCTATGCGCAGAACGGCCACCACGAGCCGGCAGTGGAGCTCTTCCGGGAGATGTTGCTCGATGGCATTGCCCCCAACAAAGTCACGTTTGTTAGCCTTCTCTTCTCGTGCAGCCATGCTGGGCTCGTCGACGAGTCGCTCTACTGGCTGAGCTCGATGCTGCCGGACTACTCCGTCAAGCCCCTGGAGCAGCATTGCGTGTGCGTGATCGACATCCTGGGACGGGCTGGAAGGCTGGACGAAGCCCAGAAACTCTTGTCCGCTCGAAGTGACTTCGACTCGGAGCTCATCCAGCTCGTCTCGGCCACGCTGCTCGGCTTTTGTAACGTTCATGGGGAGTTTAGTCGCGGCGCTGGCATCGCGGAGCAAGTCCTAGAGCTGGAGTCCGAGAAGGGACAGGCGTACATCTCAGTGTCGAACTTCTACGCGACAACGAAAAATCCAGGTGAGTGAAACCACCATTTTGCTTACCTCATGCAAGTGGAAACTTGCGAGATCTTTGCAACTTCGCTGCAATCCTGCGGAGAGATCAAAGACTTAGCACGAGGCAGAAAGATCCACGCAGAGATACTGAAAAGCAGACACGGGGGAGATAGGTACCTGGCAAATCGTCTCGTTGAGATGTATGGCAAGTGCCGGAGCGTCGAGGAAGCAAGAGCTGTTTTCGATGGCATCCTGCGAAAGAACGTCTTCTCCTGGACACTGATGGTCACAGCATATACCCGCAATGGGTACTCCACGCCGGCTCTCGAGCTCGTCAAGCAGATGGTCTCTGAGTCCGTCAAGCTGGACAGAATTGCGCTCCTGCGAATCGTCGAAGCTTGCGACCAACCAGACGCTCTCGACCAAGCTCGAGAGCTCCACACAAGATTTTTCCCTGGAGCTGCTGCAGCTGGAGATGTTGTTGTAGCTACTGCTCTCGTCAACATGTATGGGAGATGCGGGAGCGTGAGCGATGCCAAGACCGTGTTTGACGAGATGCAGCACAGGAACATCACCTCCTGGAACGCGATGCTGGTTACGTACTCGTTGAACCAGCGGAGTCTGGAAGCTCTTCGTTTCTTTCGCACCATGCTGCTCGAAGGCGTCAGGCCGGATAGCTTCACGTTCCTCAAATCGCTGGATGTGTGTTCTAAGTTAGGAGAGCCCGCTCTAGTTCACGGGGAGCTGCTCCATGCCTGTAGTGTCCAAAGCCAGGACAAGCCGGACGTCCTCGTTAGCACTTCCACCATCAACATGTTTGCAAAGTGCGGTACCTTTCAAGACGCGTATCGTGTTTTCGAAGAGATGGAGGAGAAAAGTCCGGCTTCCTGGAGCACGATTATATCCGCTTCTGTCACTCATGGCTTCGACCGCGACGCTCTTCAGCTGTTTTTCCAGATGCAGCAGCAAGGAACAAAGCCGGACAGCTTTACTGCGGTCGCGCTGCTTATATCCTGTTCCAACCTCTTAGCTCTGGAACATCGCAGGGTCCTCCACTTGATCAGTAGTGAGGAAGGATGGATCGAGTCGGACGTTGTCCTTGGAACCAGCCTCGTCAACATGTACAGCAAATGTGGAAGCTTGTACGAAGCGGAAGAAGTCTTCAAGAGGATGCCCACGAAAGATAAAATCTCGTGGACTGCCATGGTGACTGCCTACGCTCAAAACGGCCGTAGCGAACAAGCCTCAAAACTCTTGCAGGAAATGCAGCAGCAGGAGCATCTTGATCCAGAGAAGTTCGCTTGGACTGCAGTTATCTCGGGACATGTCCAAGAAGGAAAAGCTGGCGAAGCTCTCGAGTTTTTCAGACGAATGGAGCAGGAAGGAGTGAAGCCCGATGCAATCACCTTCGTAAGCGCCGCGGATGCTTGCGGAATGATGGGAGACCTCTCAAGAGCCGTGGAGATCCATTCCAGGATCAGCCAGTCCTGGCCTTCAAACCAAACCGACGTTGTTCTTGGGTCTGCTCTGATCAAAATGTATGGAAACTGTCGAAGCCTGGCGGGTGCTGCTCAAGTTCTCGATGAAATGCCCCGTACCAACGTAATATCCTGGACGTCGATGATCCTCGCTTGCGAGCAGAACGAAGACAACGAAGCAGCCATCCATGTCTACCGAGCCATGCAGCTCCACGGCCACAAACCGGATCCTGTTACCATGGTCACTGTCATCAAAGCCGCTGCCAATCTCCACGACTTGAAACGAGGGATAGAGTTCCACGCACAAGCAGCTGCCTTCGGTTTTGCAACCTCCACCGTTGTTGGAAATGCTCTGGTCACACTGTATGGGACGTCCGGGGACTTGCAAGCAGCCGAGAACGTCTTCAAAGAGCTACTCCAACAAAGCGTCGAGGACGTTGTCACTTGGAACTCCATGCTCTCCGCCTGGAATCAAAATGGTCTGCCAAACCAAGCCTTGCGTACCTTCCAGAGAATGCTCCACCACGGTCGCCATCCCGACAAGACCACCTTCGTCAATATCCTGAACGCGTGTGCCGGAGATCCTTCTAAGTTGCTCCAGGCGGTGAAGATCCACGCACTGGCTGCCGCTTGCGGCCTGGACTCCGACACTGACGTTGCTAACACTCTGCTACATATGTACAGTCGTTGCGGGAACTTGTCTCGAGCTCGAAAAGTTTTCCATGCTATCACCCAGAAGAACGTCGTTTCCTGGAGTGCCATGGCCGCAGCCTGTGCTCACAACGGTGACGCTGACGGAGCTCTACAAGCCTTTCGAGGAATGCTTCACGGAGGTATCCAGCCCAACGCCGTCACCTTCATCAGCATTCTGTCTGGATGCAGCCACACTGGTTTGATGGACGAAGCTGTCAGCTATCTGTACGCCATGAGCAGTGACCACAACCTCAAGCCCACTGTCCAGCACTATGCCTGTCTACTAGACCTGCTTGCCCGAGCTGGGAAGTTCCACAGAGCCGAAGAACTTGCTACTCATCTGCCAAATCCTGTGGCCTGGAATTCCCTGCTCGGCGCTTGCTTGGTGCATGGTGACGCCGAAACAGCAGCTCGAGCAGCTGATACTGCCGCCAAGCTGCAGCCTCTCGACTGTGCACCGTACGTATCACTCTCGAACGCTATGTCCACTGGAAAGAATCTGAAAACAAAACTCAATTATTTCCAGTAGAACTGGAGTCAGTACAAAAAGTTGTGTTTATGAACCACTACTTGATGGAGCCGCTTGCGAGGGATGCCACCTTGCAAACTCCACCAGTGGTTGAGAATGGTGCTCCCTTGTACACTGCAATCAGCTCACTGCTTGTCTGCAAATCAGGCTGTACGACTGCCCAGTCTTTAGGCTTGAGCACAGCGTCAGCGTCGCCTTCATACCCCGGACAGGTTACTCTCTCGCCGATAACAGCACCTTCAGGAGGCTCTACCAATTCCACCTGCAGTGCAAAATGATCGGTTTAGTATTGACGCTGCCTAAAACCGGCAAGTGTTACCTTTGTCTCCTCCTTGTTTGAAGCTGCGAGAACCATCGCTTGAGACAGCACTCCTCGCATCTTCGCAGGCTTGAGATTACAGATGACGCAAACTCGCCGATTCTGTAGAAAAAGAAGCCATTAAGAAGAAACGAATCTCAGTAGATTTACCTCCATCTCCTCTAGTGGTATGAACTTCACCAGACCGCTAACAACCGTCCTCGGAGTGTCTTCACCGACGTCAATTTCTTCAACGTACAAAGAATCTGCATTCGGGTGCTTTGCAACTTTGACGATCCTGCCTACTCTGATATCAGCCAGTCTAATGTCCACAGGTGTCTTAACATCAGCGGCGTTAACAGTGGCGTTCTTTTTCTTCGGTTTGGCATCAGCCTTAGTCTTGATATCTGCTTTTGCTTTGACGTCCGCTTTCTTTGCTGCTTCTTCCGAGGAAGCACGCTCAGCCTGAGACCCAGCAAACCTTTTACGGTACGCCTGAACTTCCTCGTCACTCTGAAAAAAGAGAAAATCAAATTGACGAAGGAAACAAAAAACAAAACCAAATTTTGAAGTACCATCTCAAAGAATATTGTATCGGGTTGTCCAATGACATGACCATCTCGGAGGAGAACCCAGGGAGTCCTGAAAGCCTCCACATCCGCATCAATGAGCGAAAGATCGGATAAGTCTAATCCTAATTGTGATGCGACCTGTAAAGAAGTCAAGAGAAGCTCTCAACTGAAACAGTTTGTTCTACCTTCTTTGAAAAGGATGGCATGAACGGCTCGAGAATGGTCGCCAAAATCTTAACAAGACCAATTGCTGTCCTTACAACTATATTGCAAGACGGGCGGTCTTCTTTATAGAGGCGCCAGAATTCCGACTCCTACGGGATCAGCCCATTAAATTTGAACGAGATACAGTCACGTAAAAACTTACTTGCAAGTAAGAATTGCCAAGGCTTGAAATGCTCATCGCTACCTTCAGTCCGTTTTTGAGTTTCGTCTGGAATGCAGAAAGTCAGACGAACACTAAGAAACAAAACACTCAGTAACCTTCTCCATCGAGTCTACGTATTGCTGAAGAAGCTCTGACACTTCTTCTGCAAGTTTCACGGTCAGCGCATGCTCCTCTGCACCCGGAGCATCAGGTATCTTTGAACTGTATCCTTGGCCTGGATAAAAGATCATAAGCATAGAGGCGCATTCATTCTTTCCCACCTTCAGGTTTTGCTAAGAAGCTCAGACACCTGTGAACGAAATTCCCAAGGTTTTTTAACAGCTCATTGTTTTGTTTAGCCTGCAAGTCGGCCCAGCTGAAGAACGTATCGGCAGCCTGAAATAAAAATATTGGTCGTTTCTTTTGCGGAACTGGATAAAAGTTATAAAACTCACCTCTGGACGAATGGAGAGAAGATAGTATCTCCAGACCTCAACAGGAACATTCGTATCTTGTGCATCGTTGCCAAAAACTCCAATGCCCGCACTCTTTGAAAACTTAGCTGTTTAAACTTCACCAGTTAATACACGCATACAACAACTGAGATGACATACCTCCTTCATAATTCAGATACTCTGTGGCACTCAATGTTTTCATCATCGTCCAGCGCTCGCCCGTTCCCAACAAGGTGCAAGGAAAAATCACCTAAAATGGATGTCAGAAACCAGACGACTACACTGAATACAACAATGTCTCACCGTGTGAAACGTCACATTGTCTTTCCCCATGAACTGAAAAAGCTCAACATCTTCCGACTTCCACCATTTCTCCCATTCGGGAGTGTAGTTTGCAGTGATCGAAATGTAGCCAATAGGAGCATCAAACCAGACGTAGAACACCTAAAGGAGGCTCTCGTCAGTTTAGAAAACATCAGGCTCAAAAATACCTTGTCCTCGAATCTGGGTAAGGGAACCGGAACTCCCCACTTGAGATCGCGCGTTATACATCTGCCCTTCAAGCCATCTCGGATCCATGCATTCGTGATCGTAATAGAGTTTGAACTCCAACCACCAGCTATAGATGTTTTCTCGACGTAATCCACCAGCTCGTTCTTTATCTTGGGCAGATCAAGGAACAGATGCGTTGTTTCTCTTAAATGAGGACTACTGTTGCAAATCTGCATGAAGCCGAAGAAATATAACGTACAAGTGATTGACAATCTTACCTTGCACTTTGGTTCGACAAGCTCCCCCGGGTTTAGAACGTGCGTACACTTCTCGCATTGGTCACCTCTGGCCGTCATTCCACACTTGGGACAAGTGCCAATGACGAATCTATCAGCAAGAAACCGCTGGCAAGACTCGCAGTAAAGCTGAAACAAATACCCGTCAGAGAGACAGAGAAAGAAAGAAAAACTCTACATGCCTGATTAATCTTGTCTTCATAAAGCCTATCTTGCGCAAGCAGCTTCTTGAAAATCGACTGGCAGATCACAGTTTGCTCGGGGCTAGACGTTCTCCCAAACTTATCGAATCGGATATCAAACCAGTCATAGACTTTCTTGTGCACGTCGTGGTACCTTGGACAAAAGTCGAAGATTTTAGCTCTCGTACTAGGAAGAACAAGGGTAAAGAGCAACTCTTACTTGTCACAAATCTCCTTTGGGCTCGTCTTCTCTTCCAGGGCCTTAGTCTCAGTCGCTGTGCCGTATTCATCCGTCCCACACATGTAGATGATATTGTAGCCCCGCAGTCGGCCATATCTCGCGAAGACGTCGGCGCTCAGCACAGCTGCAACAGTCGCAAACTAGACTAAGAAAGATTTCGACAGAAATTCGATCGCGAAGGAAGAAATCCTCGAAATATTTCGCTGGAAAGAATCAGGCAAATCGCGAGATCAACACTTACATCCGATGATATTTCCGAGATGCGGCACGTTGTTCACGTATGGCAGCGCCGATGTGACGAGGATGTTCCTCCGCCCCGCGCACGGCAGCTTCGCCATGGCTAGAACCCTAATCCCCAAAACCCTAAAACAAAGTGGCTCTAAAACTCTCTACTTCGGAATAAAACCATGGCAAAGAAGAATACAATGGGATGGATGGAAATGCTTGGTTTTTTACAGGGCCATTTCCGCCTGTAAGGCCGCTAGTTCATCGTCCTCGGCTACGTTGGTGGCAGGGACCCGTTGTTGAGGAACTTGAGCTTGAGGAGCTCGGCTTGGAACACGATTTGGAGCTGGGATTGGAGTCGGAGCTGCTGTCGCTGGCTTGAGCAATTGTTCTTCCAACTCCGCTCCTTCCAAATCCTCGAGCTCGGCCTCCAAATCATCCTGGAACAGATAAGAAAGATCAAACAAAGCTTAGAGTGTCTCTTTTTCTCGGATCTCTTACGTCGTCAAATTCGCCGGCAGCACCGAATGGAGCCGAGAGAGCTTCCTGGATTTGCTTGATGTTCTCGGTCTGCTCGTTCACCTCATCCATAGTTTTGTCTACGTCGTCGATGTTCCTGAGAGATGACCAACGAGCTGATGAATGGAGAAAACAGAAAAACCTTGAAGAGAACTTACGTAGCTTTTTGGATTGCTTTCATGGCTGCAGCTCCACTTCTCAGAGCGTCGACTGTTTCCGTGGTTGCCTTGGCGCCCTCAAGCAAAATCATCTAGCAAAAGCACACAAAACCATAAACCCAATCACCACCAATCTTTTGAAGTCAAAAGAAGAGAAGACTCTTACTTGATCATGAATTCGCAGCTGAAAGTTTCCTAGTTGCTCGATGTGAGTCTCGTAGATCTTCTTTTTCTTGAGGCAAGCAATAGCAGCTGCACTAGATCACCATCTCTGAGCTTCATGAAAACAATCTCTATGCTCACCTTTCTTGTTCTTAACACGCGTGTACTCTCTGGCCTTCTCGATCTCCGCCGCGATCTTCTTCTGGAGCACCCTCTCCTTCTTCTCTAGCATCTCCAAAGTCTACAAAAAAATTCGATCTCCAAAGCTAAAGAAGCAAGAGATCCAAAAACACACCTCATTTAGCTTGTCGAGCGTAGTCAAAGTCGATGGCTCAACCTTGGGCTTGCCAAACATCCGACTAAACATGGCTGCTGCCTCAGGAGTCCGATCAGATCGCCCAGGAATTCCACTCGCCTAGCACTACGATCTATCGATCGCTAAAGAAACTCCCATCCACAGCCCCAGGGCAGCGCATTGACCGATCGCAGCACCGTGTGGAGCACCCAGTCCAAGCCTAGGGCGCCCGAAAAGCCTACCTTCGCTTTCTCTGCGCTCCAGTCGCCTTCGTTACCCTATTTCCTCTGAGAAAATGCGCAGGGAATATGCGCTTTAATACCGCCGGGAATCGAACCGTTAAAAAACAAAAGTTTAAGAAGATGCAGGGTTCGATTCCATTGACGGACAAAGTCCACGTTGACTGAAACTCTGACCATTAGAGTTTACTGTAACTTTGACCATTTCATTCAAGAACCCTAAATGAAACATCGTTTGGATGATGTGACTTTGGATTAAATTAAAGTTCCCAGACTGAGGGAACAAGCTCGTCCACGATGGACAATCCCTCCCCAACCACAGAATCTCAAGACCTAAAAGCTGGGAGGCGTCGAAAGCGCCACCTCGATCGAGCCGCTGGCGCCCCACCAGTCTAGATCATCCACCGTCACTCTGCAAACGTCCTAGAGCATCTTTCCTGCAGTGGACACGAATCCTCCACGATTCTTGGTGCCAGCATACGTTTTCAGAAGGGGGTCTGGACAAAAGAGACACACTGAAAATAACAAGGACAATAATGATACAATATACTATAGCAAATGTTTGATGGGGGAGTGATCAATTAGATTTTGATTTCGATGATCCATCAATCGGTCACTCACATTTTTTGACGGGTTCGATCCCATGCGTCTGATTGGGCACAAAAACATTAATGGATTTAAAATATGTAATAATAATAATGATATTTTGATCGTTCTCTCACATTTTTAATTTGGGTGATCAATCAATTGCTCTCTCACAGATAGTCGAGTCTATAACGAGCTAGGTTTTCACGAGCTAACTAGGAGGATATAAAAGCCTCGTCGTCTCGAGGTGTGAAATTTTTGAGGGAGCCAAGAACACGCGACAAAAGAACAAAGGGTGTCACAGTTTGAGCGGTGGAGCTCCAACGGTGAGTGGGTGTGACGCTGATCCCACAACGAAAAAAAATACTCAAAATATTCCTCTTTTATATACAATTCTCCCTCATTTTTTCTATCCATTTTTTAACAAAAAACAATCTGGAAAGAGACCATTTCTCCACAAAATTTGCACTCGCCAAGTGTTGCGCGTCACACACCGCCGCGCTAAACGCATGAAGGTTAGGTTAGAATAAGTTCTGGAATATTCTCCGGGCCTAGACAGGTTTGGTGTAGGTTTGGAGGCGCTTTACGAATATTTAGGGCTGCCGAGGCCCCGGCATTTCCTCTCAGCTGGTTTCGCTCGATCGATCGATCGCATCGGGCGCTCTCTCCCACCTCGCAGCTCAGTTCTCGATCGGCTCCTCTAGATTAGCTCCTTCTATTCCTTTGATTGCTCGCGTCTTGCTTGCTCGAATATGTTTATCGAGAGCTTCCGTGTGGAGAGCCCCAATGTCAAGTACTCGGAGGAGCACATCAGCTCTGTGTATGACTACAACACCACCGATCTCGTCCACGAGAAGAATCGCGAGGGGAAATACGAGTGGGTCGTGAAGCCGAGCACTGTTACATATGAAATCCAGACTCAAAGGAAGGTCCCCAAGCTCGGGTCAGCGAAATTTTTCTATCTCTTTCTTGTCGATTTGTTCTTTTTGTCTGATCGAGTCTTGGCTACAGTATCATGCTTGTTGGCTGGGGGGGAAACAATGGATCCACGTTAACTGCTGGAATCATCGCCAATAGAGAGTGAGCCCTTTGTCAAAGAGTTTTTTTTTTTTTTTTTTTTTTTTCCCGTGTGTAACTCTTGGGGGTTTGATCCGCGCAGAGGCATCTCTTGGGTCACCAAGGATGGTGTCCAGCGACCAAATTACTTTGGCTCAGTTACTCAAGCTTCTACGTGTCGAATTGGCTCTTTCAGAGGAGAAGAGATCTATGCTCCTTTCAAGAGCTTGCTTCCCATGGTAACTAACAACAATCAAAGATGGTTCTTGAGTTTTGGTTTCTTGTATCACTTGCAGGTGAATCCTGACGATGTTGTTCTTGGGGGATGGGATATCAACAACATGAACCTCGCAGATGCCATGGAGCGAGCGAAAGTTTTGGACATGGACCTCCAGAAGCAGCTGAGACCTTACATGGACAAGATGGTGCCACTCCCGGGGGTTTACGACCCCGATTTCATTGCAGCCAACCAAGGTTCTCGCGCAAACAACATCTTCAAAGGCTCCAAGAAAGAGAAGATGGATAAGATCATCGAGGACATCAGGTACTTCGTCGAATCTCGATTGAGTTCTTCCTCTCTTTCTTTTCTCATGTTTTCGCTTTCATCCCTTGCAGACACTTCAAGTCACAAACCAAAGTGGACAAAGTCGTGGTTTTGTGGACTGCAAACACGGAACGCTACAGCGATGTGATTGTGGGCCTGAATGACACGAAGGAGAACTTGTTCGCTTCACTCGAGAGAGACGAGCCCGAAATCTCTCCCTCCACTATTTACGCCTTGGCGTGTATCCAAGAGGGTGTTCCTTTCATCAACGGGAGCCCCCAGAACACTTTTGTCCCAGGTGTCCTTCGTTTTTTCTCCCAGTTTTTCTCGGTTTGCTAAGAAGTGTGTGTATGCACGGTGCATGGCCAGGTGTCATTGACTTTGCTGTGGAGAAAGGAACTCTCATCGGTGGCGATGATTTCAAGTCTGGACAAACAAAGATGAAATCCGTGCTCGTGGATTTCCTGGTCGGTGCTGGCATCAAGGTAAAATCTCGTTTTTCTCGTATTTTTCCGACTCTAAATCCGTCTTGTCTTCCAGCCAACCTCCATTGTCAGCTACAATCATCTTGGTAACAATGATGGAATGAATCTATCTGCGCCTCAAACATTCAGATCCAAGGAAATCTCCAAGAGCAATGTGGTTGACGACATGGTTTCTAGCAATGCCATCTTGTTCAAGCCCGGTGAACATCCTGATCATGTGATCGTCATCAAGGTAAAACAAACGCTTGATTTTTTTCTAGGGAAAACTCCCGAGTTTGCTTTCGTTTTCTAGTATGTTCCTTACGTCGGTGATAGCAAGCGGGCCATGGACGAATACACGTCCGAGATATTCATGGGAGGCAGGAGCACCATCGCCATGCACAACACTTGCGAGGATTCGCTGCTTGCAGCCCCGTTGATTCTCGACTTGGTCCTCCTCGCCGAGCTTTGCTCCCGGATCCAGCTGAAAAGAGAAGGAGAGGTAAGAAGAGAAACAACAATCTATGAGACTTTGATGATTCTAAGCTCTTCACTTTTGCAGGAAAAGTTCCACTCTTTCCATCCAGTTGCAGCCTTGCTGAGCTACATGACAAAAGCTCCTCTGGTAAGATCGATCTCCATTCTTTTTTATCTCCCGTGATCATTGATGACGCGCTCATGTTTCCCGTGATCTTCTTCCAGGTTCCCCCCGGTACTCCGGTCATCAATGCATTGTCCAAGCAGCGAGCGTGCTTGGAGAACGTTTTGAGAGCCTGCATTGGATTGGCCCCCGAGAACAACATGCTTCTCGAGTACAAGTGAGAGGATGAATGGTAGATGGAAGGAAGCAAAGGATGATCCAAGCAAAGCAACCAAAGTTGTGTGAAGAAAAAAGAAAACAATCCAGAAAACAATCCATTGTTGTTGGAGATGGAGGGGATCGGTAGTCTTCGTGATGTTCTCGTCCATCATTGTAATGCCGCTGTGGCCGCAGATTTTTTCGATCAAGCAAGATCTTGTCTTTTATCTTCTAAGTTCCTTTTTTTTCTTTTTCCTGGGTTTTAAAGTCCCGGCATTTCGCCATGATTTTAGAGAAAGAAGGTTTTCACTTGATCGAAACAGAAAACTTCTCGGTGATCTCTCTCTCACAAGTTGCATGAGCTTGGATCTTGGTAATAAGTTATACAGTTTAGTAAGAGCTCTCTCTCTCTTTCTCTCTGTTTTTTTTGTTCTCTTAGGTAGTGTGTGCTCTTCGCGGGTACGAGCCATCATGGATTGAACCAACAAAGAAGAGAGAGAGAGAGAGAGGGGAGGGGAGCGTCTAGGAGTTTAGTTTCTAGCGCAAAGGAAGGATTTTGCGGGATCTAGGAGGAGAGACGAAGAAGAAGAAGAGAGAATCATGAACTTCAAGGATCGGGGGAGCGATATGTGGCGAGTATGGCCGACGCTGATGAGGAGGGCGCTGCCAATCTTTGGAGCCGAGGAGCCGCAAGCCGTAAGTTTTGGCTGGATTTCTTTGCTTGGATGGATCGCAGGGAAAAAAAACGACTTGGGGGTTTTTGGTTTTGCTTGCTTGCTTGGTCTTGGTCGGTGAACGAGCATTTGGATCACTGGTGGGAATGATCCATGCATTGGGTGCTTGGAATGCGGGCTTGCGGCTGATATTCTGCCGTGCTTGCAGACGATTCCAGCCCGAAGATCAAACGTACCGGCGTCCGTACGGATGGATCCCGACAAGTAAGTTGTATCATCTTTGTCTTAGCAAGAACAAAGTTTCGCGATGGTTAATTCCTACTTTCTTTGTTCTTTTGCTTGCCCAGGCCTCGTCCTTGGCGATATGTTCGATGGCAGAAAGCCAACGAGAAACAAAATCTGATGCCCAAGCCAAAAGGTAAGAACACTTTGTTTTTTCCTGTTCTTCTCTTCGTTTTTCTTTTCTTCTTCTTGGGTGATGTTTCGATCTCTCTACTTGGTTGTGTAGTGAGCAGACCCAAAGGAAACTACGTGTACAAGGTTCTACCCGGCGAGGACTTGGGAGACATCTCCTCCAAGCACGAAACTTTCACCGAAGTTGTCATGGAGGTCTGGCCAAAGTTCTATCATCCCTGTGGTTTGATCCTTTCGTTTCTTCTTGCATTACTTTGCACAGGCAAACAAGATCTTAAACCCGGCAAATGTTGCTACCGGCCAGCTCCTCTGGATCCCTCGGACTCATCACATACAAAAGGTTGTTCTCTTGGGCTTCATCGCTAGAAAACTTTGAGCGTGACATGATACATCTCCAGGGAAACACGCTCTGGTCTCTCTCTCGCAAGTTCAAAGTGTCCATCTCCACAATCCAGACTGCGAACGGGATTGAGAATCCGGATCTTATATTCGCGGGTGAGTGCCAACCTCGTATAAGTTTATAGCACCCAATCTTCACCCTCGCATTTCCAGGTGATATTCTAGTGATCCCGAATGAACAAAAATGACTTGGATGGTTTTCGCCACCAAATTTTCTGGGTATTGTATCACATAAAAGATACTCCAAGCAAAAAAAAAGTAAAAAGTAAAAACCAAACTTGTAAATTCTTAAGTTGTAGAAATATTTGAGTTTTGTAAAAAAAAATATAATTTTGTGGTAATATCGGGTAAAAACTTCTAAATTATCATTGGACGTTCTATAGTTTAGTCAATCGCAGTGTTTGTAGATGTTAGAGAGCTCCACATATGCTGCCGAGCTACTGGGTTCAAGCTCTGAGATCTTCCAAGAAGCCTGCATTCCACAATCCACATCATGGTAAACTTTGGACGCAGAGAGCAAGCTCCCCCAAGCAGCACCATCCGCGCAGAAAGGCATCACGTCTATAAGCTCTTGGGCTTGGCCGATCCATCCAGCTCGCCCCAGAAGATCGATCAAACACCCATAGTGATCTCTCGTTGCTTGCAAGCCGTAATCCTGCGAGATCGAGACGAATGCCCGCCACCCGGAATCCAGTGATCCAAGCCGGCTGCAAGTCGCCAGGACTTTAAGAAGCGTGGACTCGTTCACCTCGACGCCGTTGACGTTCATGAGCTCGAAGAGCTTTACCGCTCCCTCGGTATGCCCGTTTTGGGCATATGCCGAGATGATCGAGTTCCAGCAAACTGTGTCATGGGTCGGCAGTGAATCGAAAATCTCTCGTGCCTGAGCGATGAAACCGTGCTGGGAGTAAATGCTGATCATTGTCGTGTAAGTGATTGTATCACGATCTTCCATTGCATCAAAGATGGCTTTGACTTGCGCGAGATCACTGGCTTGAGCATAAGCAGCCATGAGCGCGTTATAAGAAACGACGCTGGGATCTGGGATCATGTCAAACATCTTTTGTGCTTCGCGAAGATCACCACACTGGCCGTAGAGCGTCACCATGTTCGTCCACGAGATCGTGTTTGGCTCCGGTATCTGGTCGAAGACGCACCTTGCGTGATCGACGTTTCTCGCCGTGACGAAGACAGTGATCATCATGTTCCAACACAGGACGTCCCTGTGCGGCATCCGATCAAAGACCATCTTCGCCTTGTCCACGAATCCGGTTCGAGCGTACGCCTGAAAGAGCAAATGCCACGCCGCATTGCAGTGCTCGGGCATCTCATCGAAACATCTCTGTGTCTCATTGACAAGATCACGCTGGGAATAAGCAGCAAGCATCGTCACCCAAGAGACCACATTTCTCTGCGGCATTTCATCAAAGAGATCGCGAGCTCTACACAAATACCCTGCATCAGCATACACTGCAACCAGCGCTGTCCACGACACAACGTCCCACTCAGGCATCCGATCAAAAATCTCTTTCGCCCCCTCAAAACACTGGCTCTCTACGTAAGCCTGAAGCATCGCATTCCACGATACAACATTTTTTTCGGGCGATCGATCAAACAATCTCTTCGCCTCGGACAGATTCCCGTGCCGACCATACCCCGCGATCATGGTCGTCCACGTCACCACGGTACGCTCCTCCATCGCATCGAACGCCTTGCACGCCTCATCCATGCGGCCGTATTGTACGTAGGCGGCAATCAAAGTGTTCCACGCCACCGTATCCCTCTCGGGCATGGCGTCGAAGACCGACTTTGCATCGTCCATTTGACCGGCGTCAACGTAAGCCCTGAACATTATGTTCCACGTCACAGTGTTTCGGACATCCATGCAGTCAAACATTCTCTTGGCTTCTAAAATTTGCCCAGTCTCGGCATATGCTCCGACCATTGCTGTCCAGGAGACCACATCCCTGTCTGGCATGCTGTCGAAGATTCTCTTTGCCTCCTTGAATCTTCCGGCACCAGCGTAGGCGTGGAAAATAAGATTCCACGACACTACGTTTTTCTCCGGCATGGAATCAAACACACCTCTGGCCTTTGATAAATACCCGCTTTTGGCATATACCGAAATCATGTTGTTCCAGGATATCACGGTCTTTGAAGGAGTTTGATCGAATATATCTTTAGCCTTGTCAATGCAACCTCTTTGGGAGTACGCGCCTATCATGATGTTGCAAGCGACGGAATCTTTCCTGGGAAGGGAGTGAAAGATTCGCTCTGCGTCTTTTAGATGCCCGGCTTGGGCATATGCCTTGATTAGCGCGGAGGATGATACCAGATCCTTGACCGGCATCTTGTTGAAGAGATCCTTTGCCTCGCCGAGATTCTTGCTGGCCGCGTAGGCATGGAGGATGCTGCTCCACGAGAAGAGGTTAGGGCGAGGGATCTCGTCGAAGACTTGGCGGGCATCGCGCAAGCTCCCGCATTTGCCATACTTCTGGACGAGCAGATTGGCGAGGAAGATGTTGTGGGAATGGCTGCTCTCGCGGACGCGCCCATGGATTCGCTTGCATTCTTCCAAATCTCTGGCTCTTCTGATCGATCGAGCAAGATCTTCGACTGGATCAACCGCGCCTTGCTCGAGACAACTAGCCCTTTGCAGCATACGAATGTTTACCCGCCAAATTTTAAAAAGATACCAAGAATATGCCAATCTGATTTTAGGGTTCTTCGGCAGGGATTTTGCGGGTCGCGGCTGCCGACCGAAGAGCCGCCATGGCCTGGCACCCCATCGCCGTCGCTCCGTGGCTAGGGTTCTCACTGGCGCCGCCGCCGCTCCGCAATATCCTATGCGGCACCGGATCCATCGCTCGGCGAGGCAGAGGCATCCTCGATGAGCACGGGAGGCAGCAGGTCCGCGACACCGATGCCCAGCATCGGCGGGAGCTCCTCCCCGCCGCGGCGGCGGCGGCGGCGGACGAACACCCCGGGGCCAGGTGCATACTCTCCACTCATCCCTACATCGGCTCCAAAGTACAGCCTTGCGAGCCGATTGACGTCGCGAGGTGAGTCTGACAATCCGGGGCCGGGCACTTACAAGCTCGGTTCCATGCTCGGTGGCCCATCCTACACGATCAAGGGAAGAACCGAGCTTCACCAACGAGAGCAGACCCCCGGGCCCGGCGCCTATAACCAGCTCTCGAGGCCGAGCTCTCCGGCATTTTCTCTCTCGGGTAGGCTTCGCCGACAAGTGGGCGAGAACGTCCCTGGTCCCGGATCTTACGAGCTGGGCAGCACGCTCGACACGCAGGGGATTCGAATCCATGGCAAGCTCAAGACTCTGGGCAGGCCAGAGTCTCCCGGCCCGGGGGCGTATGATCCAAACTCGAGAACTGGAAGTCCATCGCCACCTTCTTACTCCCTCGGCCCAAGGACTTTCTACGAGCACACAGAGGACACCCCAGGGCCGGGAGCTTATGGTCGGGGAAAGGCATCCAGTGGGCCTGCTTACAGCCTTTCTGGGAGGCTTGGAGACGGCGGTGCCAGGAACCAAAACCCGGGACCAGGAACCTACGAGCCCAACATCAACTCGAGAAGCCCGTCACCTCCATCCTACTCGCTCGGATCCAGAGTGTTCTACGAGCATTCCTCCGAGACTCCTGGGCCGGGAACTTACAGCCGGTCTCGGAGTCCCACTGGCCCCGCTTACAGCCTTTCTGGGAGGCTGTCCGAGACGAAGAGCGCGCAGAATCCAGGCCCCGGCGCTTACGACCCGACTGGCAAGGTGGTGTACCGGGCACCACCGGCTTACTCGATGGGAGGTCAGCTCCACTACGCTTACAACGAGAACACTCCAGGACCCGGGAGCTACAACATCAAGTCCGGGGCGACGGGGCCATCCTACTCTCTCTCGGGAGTTCTTGCCAAGCGGAGGCCCGAGCAGAGTCCCGGCCCGGGAGCCTACAGCGTCGCAGTTATCTCCCTCGCGCCAGCTTACTCGCTCTCCGGGAGGCTTGAGCGCAAGTTGCGAGAGGACACTCCAGGCCCCGGCGCGTACTCGCTGGGGAGCTCCATGGAGGGGCCGTCTTTCAGCTTGTATGGACGACTCACGCCGCTCCAGAGGACTTTCTATCCCGGCCCGGGTGCTTACACCGTCATTGGCAAGTCGGAGACTCCAGCTTTCAGCATAGGACGCAGGCTCATGCACGCATCCGGAGAGACGACTCCGGGGCCCGGGCAGTATGGCCGGCCGATGATCAAGTCGGGGGCGCCGAAGTATAGCATGGGAGAGAGGCTGGCGAACAGCAAGAGAGAACCGGGACCCGGCCCTGGAGCTTATCATATGGATCTCAAGAGCGAGCTTCCTTCGTTTAGCCTCGCTGGTCGGCTTCCACTTCTAACGGCGGCTGTGACTCCAGGCCCGGGAGCTTACAACATCAAGGGCGCTCTGGAGGGTCCTGCCTATAGCTTGACGAGCCGGGGGCACGATTTAACTCGGAGTGTAAGTCCAGGTCCAGGAGCTTACGATCCCAGAGCCGCGATGGTGCTGAACAAGCCGCCAGCGTTTAGCTTGAGTGGCCGGCTCAAGCACCTCGGGCGCGAGGAGACTCCCGGGCCGGGTGCTTACAACGTCCGGATCAAACCAGACGGGCCGGCTTACACGATGAGACCGCGGCTGGATTTCGATTACGAGGACGGGGAGGACGAGTGACAAGAGAAGACGGGCCTCTCAGGAACTTGGAAGAAAGGTTTGTCAAGGTTGGTCACAAGGGACTTGGAAGATTGACATCGAGGATGGTCACAGGGACTTGGAGAAAGAGTTTGGGATCGAGGTGGAAGCAAAAGCTTACAGGGGCATCGAGAACGGAAATGTTTGAGCAGCAGCAGCTGGCCCCGAGTTTGGATCGAGCAAAATGGTGGTGGTGGCTGGTTTTCTCCTGCTTTACTCCAGAACTTCGATGATACATACTTCTCCAAGGACTTTGATGATAAGCACTTAAAAATGCTCCTGGGTGCTTTGCTTTAGTATCTCAGCATTAAACTGGATGGTCAAACGTTCAAACGTATGACGTGGAATGACATGCTGGCGGTCAGCCCCAAGAAAGTAGCAGTTGCCTTGCGGACTTTGATCACTCTTGGCGAACTCTACAAGGCTGACATAAAATGCATATGTTTCAAACTCGAAGAACCTGGAGTGAGCATCAAGGGATTCTCATGGACTAAGCACCAAGAGTTTTGAAACAATGCCTTGACACACTGCAAATAAGTTGCTGAAGCTAAAAGAACTTCAGCAAGCTGAAGGATGACCACCTAGGCAAAATGCCTTCATCCGGCATTTGCTGAAACACACCATCCTCGTAGATACCTTATTTATCTTTAGCTACAGGATCCATCAACCCCGAAGAACCTCGACGTCCAAGACTCTTGGGATCGCTGCTGGGAGGCACGCTGAGCTTGTAAAACGTTGTGCATGGCCGAATCGTTGTTGTGGAGACACGAACGTGGCAATCACGGGTGGCGCTCCAGCTGACGAACGCTTGAGAAGTTTTTGTGCTACGCTGTGAGCTGCCAGAAGAACATTCCACTTCCCAGGAGTGATTTTGTGTCGAGAAAACTCCGGGAGCATCATCGTCCGGGCTCACAGCATCGCACGGGCTCGCAACCATCTTGTTGCGATCCACGGCAAGGGCCATATGCAAAAACTGTCGAACTAGTGTCCAGTGATGGCGATGAGGGAAGAGGATCTCATCGATCCTGAACCGGATTGTATACCCTTGGTGTCGGTCCCTCCCCATTCCAGTTGCCACCGACAACGTATGGCCGACCCTCCGTAGCCGTGGCGTTCCATTGATTCGTAAGACGCTCACTGCTTTGCTGTAGAGCTTGCTGCCGAGAGCCTTGCACACGAATCCCTTGCCGTGGGTTTCCGGCGCAGGAGGCAGAATCATCCACGCTTTCTTGGCGCTACTGGGATTGAACGCCATGATCAAAAACTTTTCCCTGAGCAACACCGTCGCCTCGTCCAAGCCCTGAGCGGAGCGATCATCGTATAGCTGGAGACGAGCTTTCTCCACGCTCGACTCACCTTGCTCATTTTCAGTTCTTCACCAATCTACTGAAAGAGATTGAATTTTTTAAGACGCTCGACAGTCCAGACTCCAGATCTCCTAGAAAAAGGTAAGCAAGCGCATCCATCGCATTTGGACGAGGAACGTTTTCTCATCGGCGCTCGTGATGACCGCCGCACATATCCAGAAGAATGGGCGTATGGAGCTGGGACGGCAACCATCATCCAGCTCGAACCCACGGGTCTCATACTTGATGTAAACATGAATAACGTTGTTGAACTTGGATAAGCAATTACCATTGCATTCCACGACACCATAGCTTTTTGCCTTCGCAAACTCGCCGAGGAGACGGGTCCGACAAGCATTCTTTGCTTGATAAGGGAATCGCCACTTCATAAGCTTGTTTATGTGGAAGCAGATCATCCTTCCAGCCTTTCAGACCATTCGTGAACAGCTCGAGCAGCTCCAAGTCATCTCGGTTGCATTCTGGATGAGCAGCACCGTCTCCTCGCTACACGCTTGAAAACCAATAAGTATGCTCAGAAGCTCGCCAGACAGTGGGTTTTCAGCTTATTTCGTTTCACAGATCTATATGGTTATATATCGTTCTCTACATATCGATATTGTTCTGTTTCTTCAACTTTCTTGAAAGCGTCCTACAGTCTCGAGGACAAGCGGCACCCCATGGATTGGCTTCAAACCAAACTTCATTGCAGGATTATGGCGGTAGTTCGGTGAAAGCCGGAATGAGAACCGCTGCAGTATCATAGCCAGTATGACTTTGGCTTCAATCATCGCAAACGACTGGCCTACGCACACTCGAGGGCCAAGCGAGAAGGGTATGAAAGCATTTGGATGCTTGCATGCGTTTGAAATCCCATCTTTGAACCGATCCGGATTGAACTCAGTTGCATCTTCCCCCCAGAGCTCCTTGTCGTGATGCATACCAATAACCTGGAAGGCCAAAGTCACTCCTTTTGGTACATGCAAATCCTGTAGCCAAGTCTCCACCATGCATTCCCGAGTCATCTCGACTGCGGGTGGATACAGCCGCAGAGTCTCGTAAAGGATCGCTCCTATCTGTTGAATCGAAGTTGTCAAAGTTTTGAACCATGAACTTATAAACATGGATGGACTTACCAGCTTGAGCTTGCTAACATTCTCGCCATCAGGTGTCTCGGTACCACAGACTTCATGTACCTCTGCTCGAGCACGGTCTTGCCATTCAGGATAGCCTCCCAACAGCATCAACGTCCAAGTTAGTAATGACGCTGTGGTCTCATGCCCCGCAAAGTAAAAGGTCTTGCATTCCTCTATCAAATCCTTGTTTGTGAACTTACTGTTGCTGCTGTCACACTCCTTTAGCATCAACCCAAGCAAGTCGTTGCCATATGAATCGCTCCTCCCGCACTTCACAGATTCTCGACGCTCATCTATGATCCCAGTTATCAACGAATCCAACTCCTGATGAAACTTCCAAAGTTTAAGGTTGACTGGAAACGGCAGAAACCTGTAAACGAACAATTTGTATTCACTCCAACTAAGTGTGTAATGATCAAGCATACCTGAAACCCGGTAGTATCCAGGAAAACCTGAAGAGTATGGGGAACAAATCTGGGATTTCCTTCGTCAAAATCACAAAAACTCTCTGGCCTTTGAGATAACTTGTCCCAAATGCTGTATGCGAGATAACATCTCCTGTGAGCTTGCGCGCCTCTGCAGAGATTTCAATCTCGGGATGCTGCTGCATCATAGCTTCCCATCGATCAAGCATAACAGAAGCACAAGTTGCAATTGTACCGGTCATTTGCTGAAGAATCAACTTATTAGCCAGACCGAAGTAGTTCGTGTGCAATCCCTACCTTGATACGTTCATGAAAGAATGCCGGTGCTACAAGCCGGCGGTGGTGACTCCATTCTTCTCCAGTAACGGAAGCCAACCCACGACCCAGAAACATGGTCAAGAACCAAACCGACATGTCCGACTTCTCAAAATGCGAAAACTTCTTAGACAAAGCTTCCCTTACGATCTCAGGTTCAGAGACTGATATCCTCGGCTCTGTTCCCCACCAATACACGAATCGCTTCCCTGTATAACATGCTCGGAGAACAAGAACAGTATGAAAGAGAGCATACCATATTGCTTGTTCCATTTGTGGAATCCTGGCTGCACTCGATGAACAATATCCTGGCTGAAACTTTCCATGTCGTGATCCCTGATTGCGGCCATTGTCTTCCGGATTTCAAGCATCTGGCCTGCCATGAGTGTGGGAGGAGGCCCCCGAATCCCTTGCTTCTTCAGCTGGGCAGCAATTGCTCTGGGACGCCACCAGTAGACCGTCATGAATCGCCATAGCGCAGCAGTGAAGAGGGCGACGCAAGCGCTCAGGATCCATTGAGCTTCCATTTCCTGGACTAAGGGCAAACCTATGCACTCTGCTTGCCAGGTGGGCGCTTTTCATCCAAACAAATCAGATTCAAACAAGAATCGAAACTGCTTCGAAGCAACATTGCGATAATAATACAAGCTTTTTGGGTCGTTTGGCGCCTTGGACGTACATTGTGATAACCAATACTTTCTTGGTCTATTAACTTTAAGATCATTACATCTCTCGCTCCAATTCCTTATAATTCATCAGGAACCTCTCTGTAGGCTAAACTTCCATCGCTGCAGAGGCATTGCACCTCTTCGAGAAGTTGAAAACGAGGTCGTGTGGAATTCGAGATTTTCATCAAAGAGCATTGTTAAACTGGTCTGTTTCTTCCGAGCGTCTGAATTGTTTCACTGGCGTCTCACAGTCTAAAGGTTCAACCCTTTTGATTCTCTTAAAATCCTTGGCTTAGTACCCAGACTTCATATCCAGCCACCACGGACAATTTTCCCAGTAATGTTTACATTGTTTCACCAAGGTCTTTGCTAGCCCATACTTTCGTGTCCTCTGGTATCAACTCAATAATATTTCTCCTTTTGAGTTGCCTGAGCCATCTGCAAACGCATAGACAGTCAACTATCTTGCATACCCGAGCTATAGACCACGATTCAAAATTCCACAAGATTGGAAGCTTCAAAACGAGAAGACTAACCTTGTTGCAAGACGTTTTGCTACTTGTTCAATGACCTCTGCTTCAATCCTCTGCATCTGCACGGTCGATGCCATGGAAGAGAACAGTGCCGTATAGCACAGCCAGAAGGCGTAGGTTCTTTGCAATGCTATCAACCATCTCGACGGCAGCCAGGTGAAAACCCGGCTGTTTCAGGAGCTGGTCACGAGCAAGTCGATCTGCTTTATCCGCCACATAGCCGCCTTCGATGCCCATTTACGAAAATGAGTATCATCCTTTGGGACCTTCCATCTTTTCCATCCGTCAGTAGTGTCAGTGAGTGTCTGGAACCACCAGCATCAATCTTCAGTTGTGAAGGGCCGGCTTGCTAGAGCGGTCAACTTCTCACGTGTCAAGTTGAAACCGCTGTGCGATAATTGCTGCGTTGTTACTTGCTCAATTCACCTCCTTCCAAGTTTCTCTTCGTGCACAACGGTTAAGTACTTCCACGTCTTAGTTCGCCAGTTTTGCATAACTACGGTTCGTGCCTTTTCCTCACTATCAGGCATTCCAGCGAATTTAGTATCTGCCATCCTTGCGATCTCTCTATTTATCCACTTTTGCAATCGAACCATTCAGATCAGACAAATTTTCGATCAAAAAGTTCCCTTACCCTGAACAGAAATGAAGCTAGAATGGTCCGTTACCTGTTTTGGTTCTCTTTTAACCCCATGGATCATCTTGAGTTCGTTTAAAAGGTGCAACTCCGAAGGGCTTAGTGTCTTCTCAATTTCTGTATTCGATGAGCAGAACAGATGTTAGGTCCTGCAGATTTAGAGTGTCATCGTAATCATTCATGCTGCAGAAAAAACAAAAACAATACAGATTACCGCCTTGAATGGATGCTAATCAAACTTACTTGCTGATCCCCGATATGACATTGAAGAGAGACAGAAATCCATAATTCTTTACGTCAAGTATGGTTGCGTTCACACGAACACGTAGCCTTTTGTTGTTCGGAAACTCTTTCTCAATGCAGTCCATCCATGCACGCAGCCGATGATTTCCATCAAAACAGAAAAACATGAGACCTGATATTCCGGGTCCGCTTGTAGCTCGCTTTCCAATTCCTCATTCACCTCCCTCCAGGTAGGATCCCACGACCCAATTGTTAAATCTGTAACTTCTGGTCGGCGTCTGCAATTCCGATGATAAACGACGGCATCTTTATAAGATACCCTTCTTTTGCAATGCGTTGTAGAGGCGTACATTTGGTTCCAAAACCTTACGAACAATCTCTGCAGGTTGCAACCGACACAGCGGCACCAAGGGAGGATTTGTGGATTTGTTGATTCTCATCCTGTTCAGCGTAGGCCAATGTTCTCTCTGGAAATCCAAATCATCCAGCATTTTCTCCTGTTCCAACCCTTATATTTGTTATCCGCGAACTGAATAGAGGGCCACTCACCTCCAGAAATGTCAGCTTTGGCGGATCATCCGAAGCCGCGCTCACTCCAAACGAAAACCCTACTTCGAGAAAAAATGAGAAAGAATGTAGCCATAATTGCACATTTAAAGGTATGACTAATCCCATGCTTTAAACATGGTCTAAATTTGAGGAGCAGGCCCCGAGTTTTGATCAGGCAACTGCTCTTCACATCGAGTGGCTGGATCTTTTCTTCGATGATACAAACTTTTTACCCGGAAAAATGATAAACACCAGTATAGAATGGTCTAAAAAGCATAGGACCATTGCCCACTTTTAATTAATTTCTCTTGCTTTCAAAAGCCGGGTTTAGGGCAATGGATGAGCTAGTGAGGGTGAAGGTGCTTTCAGCGGGCGAGAGCTTCACATTCAAGAGTGTGACCGCTGCGAAGCTTGAAAGCCTCTTCGGGATTGGTTCAATCATTGACGAAGACGGGTATGTGGTGACGGAGGAAAGCGAGCTCCCTTTCGGCAACTACACATATAAACCCGGTATGTCTTTCATTTCTTGCTGGACTGGATCACCGACTTATGTTTAATGAAACTTAACCCCTAACAAAAAATTAGACTTCAAATTTGCTGATCCATGCATTCTCAACCATGAGCCAAACGATCTGGAGCGCAGCGAGGTCCTGGCGAATCTCCAGGGCCAGCACAGCGAGCCCAAGTTCCTCAACTGCAGACCATCCCATGCCAAGCCTCCAATCCCTCTCCAGCTCGTTCATCCAGTCTTTGGTCACTTCACCGACCTGATTCACGATCACGATCTTGGAGCTCCTGGGCTGGCAGACATCGAGTTCGCGCTTGAGCTCGCGCACCTTTCATCGCTTTACCACTCGGACGAGGCCGAACTAAGGCGCACTGTTCATCGGCTCTTCTCCAAGTACCTGGGCGTTCCCTGCCGCGAGACGCTCACGATCCATGGCAGCTGGGAAGCTCCTCTCGCGATGATGGTGAGCGTTTTCTTCCGGCCTCTTCTTCGCTCACGCTAGTGTTTCTATCTCTCCAGAGTCGTTCCATGAACAAGAGCCTGATTGCTATAGGTGAAGTGAAGCTCGGCGGCCTGGATTCGTACACTCATGGCTTCCACTGCTACGCGCTCTACTGGGACATGGTGGGAGCCAAGGAGCGGTACATAGACACTTGCTATCCAGCGTTTCTCATGGAGCTCGTTGGCTGCAATCTGAGAATAAGCGCCATGGCAAAGCTCGACGAGGTGGTGTGCCAGCCTCTCACGCACTTTGTCAACCTATTGCCAATCCAGGGCTTGGATCCAGAGATGGTAGCCGAGTCCGTGCGAGTTTTGGTCGCCTTCAAGCGCTGCCTCGGGCTGCTCAACGAGTACTATTGGAATGTTCAGGCCGGGACGCGTGCCGGGACGGGGAACAAGAGATACGACCTCTGGAACTTGGACATTCCATATCCGCTGCACGAAGCGGCGAAGGTGGTGAAGAAGTTTGAGAACAAGCTCGTCTATCTGGTGGAGCCTTGGGGAGTGGTAAAGCTGGCCAAGAGATATGGAGTGGAGGTCCATCGCGCGTGGGCTGCTGCTGGCTTTGCTCCGGCGCTCTACGGAGTTAGAGCGCTGGCTGGTAGATGGGTCGAGGTGAGGATGGAGAATCTGGGACCGGAAGACGGGTGGGAGATGCTGGCCGAGTGTGGAGACGCCGACGAGCTGAGGGATCAAGCTCTTGCCGCGCTGAGAAGTGCTCATCGCGTTCCAGTATCGTCGAATGGCGGGGTCGGAGTTCATGGAGATGCCAGGGACGTCAATGTGATGATAAGGCGCCCTCGAGATGGGGCCGAGAAAGGACTAGGAGTAGAAGTGAGATTCATCGATTTCGACTGGGCAAGTACTCACGGAGAGGGTCGGTATCCTCTCTTCATGAACTTTGTGGAAGTCCAGTGGCCTCAAGGGGCCGAGTGTGGGCTCATTATGGAGCAGAGGCATGATCTCGAGCTTCTTTCGACGCCATTGGAGCAGCAAACTGGTTTGTTTAGATGAAAGCATTGGGTTTGTTTCTAAGGAGTCAAAGTCAGTGGTAGTCAATGAATGTCAATATAGTCTTTGAAGTTTGTCTTTGACTTATTGATTTCGGGACCTGAATTGACTTTCATTGACTTCTTGAGCTCATCAGCTCAAAAGTGGAGTGGGCTCGATTTAAGCTCTTTTCTTCAAGAACTTCAACGATACACACTTTTTTCCTCTGAAAACTTTGATGATCACTTATATGTGATCATAACTTAAGCTCCCGAGAGCTTTGCCTTTACATTATTCTTTGACGGTGGTGACAAGCAACCAAAAGTGGGCCACTAAGAATTGGAAAAAATTCAAAGGGAAAAGTTGATTTGATGTGCCATCTAACATTGCAACATGGGTGATCCAATGCCTATAATCTTAAACCAACAAGGCTTTTCTTAGATACTTCGTTGAGTGGCTGTAGTGTCGCGCACTGGCGGTTCTTTTGTCTAAACATTGGTGGCATTGTCTCGGCGAGACATCCTTGTTCTCCTTGGTTTCATAGAAAAAATCGAATATCATCCATAACAATGTTAGCATCAATATCAAAGTGAAAAGAGGACAAGAAAAATAGTGATTCCACCCACGGTCTAGAATCTTTAGCGAACATTCCCCGGCAAAGCGTACAAATCAGAGTCGCGGATCCCGGTGCGCAGAGAAAGCGACCACCGGCCAAAGCACTTAAATGCTATGCCACGCGGCGTCTCGGGAACCGTTGGATCGCTGTGGGGTTTAATGCGCTTGGATAGAAATATTCTAGGGTTCTTCCTTGTTTTTTTTTTACTCCGTGTCTGGTGCGTCGTCTCTCTCTCTCTGGCGCCTCGATCAGGTCCTGCCAGCGCGAACGGGACTGGATTGGCCGCTGGAACGCAACGGCCGTGGCGGCAGCGGGCGAGGAGCTCCGGAATCTCGCGATTCCGGCTTGGTTTTGCTGCGGCGGCGCGAATCGCAGGGGAATTCTAGAATTCTTGTGGAATTCCATCCGGCGCGAGGTACATTTTCAATCTAGATGTCGATTTTAGGTGGGGGTTGTGTGATCTGGACGTTTTGGCGTGTGCCGCAGGATTTTGGAGAAGAAGTGGTCCTCACGGAGCTACATTTTCTATTCTAGACGGGGATTGATTGATGCTCCTTTGAGCCAAGGGTACGCGAGCCTCGTCTGCGCTCTGATTTTTTCCATAGCCCCATTACGTTTTTCCTCTTTCCTTTTCCAGGTTTTTTTGTCGGGGAGAACAAACGCTATGGGCAAGTCTACAAAGTGGCTTGGAAAGTTCTTGGGTGTGAGAAAGTTCAAATCCCCTCTCAAGGAGAAGGATAAGTCGTCGTCTCCAGAGGTATGGTGGTGTGATGATCGATCCAATTGCTACTGATAAAACCAAAAAGCTTTGTTGTTGGTCCAGGAACACGATGGCCAGGAGAAAATTCCTGCCGATTCTTCCCCAGCTCAGAACCAGGCCCAGGTTTCTCCGGAAGTCATTGCAGCTCCCACCACCGAGGCCCCAAACGAACCATTCAATGCACAGCCTATAATTGCAACGCACGATGGAATTCCGGATGGAATTATCACCACAGGGAATGCAGCAGCTATAAAGATCCAAACAGCATTCCGAGCCTTCCTGGTAAGCTTCTTTCCGGAATTAGTTTGCTTAGAAAATTGCCCAAGTAGGAAGCGCCAGCCGTTTTTTTTGGTAGTAATTCTGGTAAACTTTGCACACGTTCGTATAGGTAACGAAGGGTATGATGGTGGATGATTTTGTCCAGGCCAGGCGAGCATTGCGGGCTCTCAAGGGCCTTGTCAGGTTGCAGGCCTTGGTTCGAGGACACAGCGTGAGAAAGCAGGCTGCGATCTCGCTGAGAACTGTACTCGCTATCGTTAAAGTGCAAGCTCTGGCCAGAGGCCACCGCGTCAGAAGCTCCCAAGGCGGCCAGAGCATTCAGAAGCAGCTATGGAATAAACGACAGGGCAGCTCCGAGGCGGATCCTTCTTCGGTAGGCTGCCAGCTCTGTCTATTCACGATTTCTTTTTTTTTTGTTTCCTTATTCGTCAATCTGTGCAGGAGCTTAGCGGCAACGATGCTGTAACAGTTATAAACGTAGTACGAGCTAAGCCTAGCAAAGCTGATGTGAGCAAGTTCGATCAGAAGGTACTCCTTACTTGTTGCGATTTGACACATTCATTTTCTTCTTCCCGTGAACTCACAACTGGTGGTTCGTTTGTTTTGGTTTTTGCAGCTCGTCGCGTACGCACCAACGCAAACCAGGCTGTTTAAAAACCCCGTTATCCGGCCCGAGTGGACGTGGTTGGAGTTTTGGACAGCTGTGGAGCCTTGGAAGCCTGCCACTGAACCGGCAAGCGTGGCAGAGACCAGCAGGTGACTTTACTTCTTCGTTTAGCTTCACTAAACTTCTGATCACACATCTGTGTCACCGCAGCTCCAAGAACGGCGACGTGAATGGCGACCACGCGCCAGCGTCGAAGAGCTCCGAGAAGCGATCCAAGGCGGACAGGTCCGTGCCGAGCTACATGGCGGCCACGGAATCGGCAAGAGCAAAGGCTCGCGTGAGCAGTCCCGGCACCGCCGCGAGCAGCACGTCACCCGCGGACAATGGCAAGCTCTCGCCGGCTGCTATCAAGAGAAGGTTCTCTCTCCCTGGAACGCATGGGCGGTTTCAGGACCCCATCACGCATCCCCGCAGGCTGAGCTTCCCAGTTCGCGCGAGGTGAAATTGGGGGAAAGATATTTGAGGAATTGTGCAGTGTTGCCGTGTGTGGGTTCCCTTTTTCCTTTTCTTTTGATAAATAAAATGTAAATCATTCTAAAGTTATAAAGGGTTTAAGAAAAGCATAATTTAAAACTAAACGTTTATGATAGCTTCGATAGTTTATTAGCGGCAAAGGTCAATGGTTAGCATGGAAATGCGATCAAGCGAGCTGAGCCGCTGGAGCGTGGAGGAGCCGAGGAGGAGCAGCGAGGAGCATGGAGAAGGGGATAGCGCGGAGAAAGTGGAGAGATAGGCGCAAACCAAAATTCCATAATTTACATGTCTTGAGCTTTTCTTAGTTTTGCTCTTGCATGCATGGGAGAAACAAAAGAGGGCTAAAGCAGCTGCATCTCTGGCCAAGGCAGCTCAGCCGGCCAGAAAGCCATCATCAAGCCAGGATCAGCCCAAAAGAAAACCCAAAGCCAAAACAACATGGAGATCCCAAGCTTGAAATAAATATAAGGTAGCTCGCTCGAAAGTTTTGGTTTGCCATTTTGTATCAAGGGGACTGTCGCTGCCACAACATCTAGTGGTGACAACATGCATAAGAACATGGCGGCAAGTTGCGAACATAAAATTTGACTTTTGGTCCATAAATCTTTTTTGAAGTTCCTTTTTGCTCTCAACTCCAAGGAGGCCGAGCTCCTCGACGCCGTGGCATACGCTGTCAAGAGCAAGCAAAACATCAAGGTGAGGGAGGCACATACCATGACCAAATTCGCGTGTCCAAACTCCAGATCCGATACAGGGCGAGTTGTCATTAGCACCACCAGCTTCAACTCCAACTCGAGCGTTGTCGTTGACAAGAGCTCCATGACGGTCTCCTGCATGATGGAATCATGCTTGGCTAGCTTATCGATCTCCTGGCGATGCAAGGCGTGTCGACTGGGACGGCGTGTCGCCGGCGGGCATGGTGAGCACGGGGGCCCATGGCAGCAGCCTTTGGGGTCGCGGCGGAGGAACTCATGAGTACCTCGTGTCCATATGAGTATCGTCGTTCCGGCCTCCAAGAACGAACGCTTTCCCAAAGTTGTCACGGTCGCGGAGGGGAGTCGCCGCCAGGATCTCGCTGGGAGTTCTTGGAGCTGTTTCGCAGCTTACGTTCTCCGTACAGCCCATGACGAAGAGGTCTGTGACGCTGGCGGTGGCAGACGATGGGTCTCTGGAAGAGGACTTCTTGACACTGGCTCGGGAGCACGAGTTTGCGGAAGTGTCGTGGTACAGCTCGCAGAAGAAATTTGTGTCGAGGATCGATGACAAAGCGCCACTCTCGGTGCCAGGAAATGGCACTGAGACTACAGCGCTGTTTCTTCCCGTGCAGGCTGCTGCTGCCAGGAGTTCAAGACTGAGCCGTCAGTGTGCTCTCCGACTGATCTTAAAATTGAATGTTTTCCAGAAGAAGCAGCTGAAGCGATTGGGAATTCAACCTTCTTCTGCTCCGTTGCTAAGAACACCGTAAACACCATTACTTCCACGAGTGGGCATATTCTGGTTCCACGTCTCGGTATCTATCTCCATCAGCGACGACGTTGGCAGCTTTATCCGGGACGTGAAGCAGTTGAGAGACTTATCACCAGAACGTCTTTGTCTGCTTGATACTGCCCTCGCATTGCAGATTAGATTCTTGAAAGCTTCTCAGGCTTACCTTGGACCAAAGACAGACGCAGCACAGATTGAGTTCATTACTTTCCGAGATAGGAGGCCGGGGGAACCACAGACGTACGAGGACGTTGCTGAGGAAACGTTGTCTAATTTTCTTTTGGCAAGGAATAAGTTGGATCCACAAGGATGGCTTTCAAGTGATTGGTCTGATTCAGTGCTGGGAATCCGAGGAAGCCCAGTGACGACAAAGGATGGATGTGCTTTGGAAGGACTATATGTTTGCAGTGAAGAGAGGCATTGTGCTTCAGACAAAGGATTTTTTTTGCCAATCAGGATCGTGAGGCAAGAGTCTACAGCAATAGAAGTTAAGAAACAAAGGATGCATAATTTCTCCTTGTTTGTTGTTCAGTTGGTTTTGCCTGAGATGTGTAGATTGTTTTAGTGTAAGGAATATATTTAAATAATTGATTATGTGAGGGCCAAGTGTACGGCTACGATGCCGTATACTAATATTAGCATAGTGGGATTTTGGTAGCCATCGGATTGGTTTCAATCCGGACCACTCGCTACTGTATATAAGTTAGGGTTTTTGGGCTAATTGATATGCACATTTTTGTATTCCTTTTCCATATTCCATGCACTCACATTGGTGGAGATGAGAGGCACCTTTGATTATCCTTAGAGAGTGTTTGGATTTGGGATTTCAGTTTAGATCTAACTTTTGCATTGTCTAGATCTAGCTTTTTCCATTTCCTTTCTTTTGTTCTTTCCTTTCAGGATTTTGGTTTCGATCTAGCTTTTTGCATTGTCTAGATCTACCATTTCTTTCCAGCTTTTTTGTCATTTCTCTTCTTTTGCTCTTTCTTTTTCGTTCATCTTCATGGCCGATCCACAATCTCCTCTTTTGACTCTAGAGCAGCAGTTAGTTCAATTGCTTGATGCTATGCGCTTGCAATTAAACAACCAAACTCAGTTGATGGCGGCATTTATGGCATGTGGTACAACTCCTCCTGCTCTTGGTGCCAATCCTCACGTTCGGCCGGAGTTCTTTCGCGGGAATCCTGGGGATGATGTGTACCATTAGTTCAATCACTTTACAGTGATTGCCATATATCATTCTTGGGATGATGCTCGACGGTTGCGTGAGTTTCCCACGTGTCTCCAAGGGACGGCGTTGCAATGGTACAATGGTTTGAGCGCAACTACTCGTGGGGATTGGAGTGTTCTCCCGGACGTCTTCAAACGCGCCTTCGGACATGCTGATGATTGTGATGATGCTTTCCAACAATTGCATCGTCTTCGCCAAGGGTCATTGGAGTCGGTGATGCAATTTGGCGTTCGTTTCCGAAGTCTTTTGCTTCGTGTGGAGCCAAATATGTCGGAGCGGATCAAGCTAGGAATGTTGTGGCCAGCACTTCGTCAAAATCTTGTCGGACTTGTGCATGCACTTGCTCCTGCCGCCCTTGACGATGCTCTTCGCTTGGCACAACGTTATGAGACGTCGCCTCTTCTACTTCTCGCTGCACGTCCTTCCGTTCTACTTCCTATGGGTGATGGTCCTGTTCCAATGGAGGTTGATGCTGCTGCTGCTCGAGTCCAAGGACAAGCGCGAGGACTTGGTCGTGGCCGTGATGTTCGCTGCTGGGCGTGTGATGAAGTTGGTCATACTTATCAGCGTTGCCGTCGTTTTCCGGATTGGCAACCTCCATTTCCTGGGTGGAGACCTTGGCGTCAGCAACGTCCCCTGGGTGCTGCTTGTAACGCACCTTATCTCTCTCCCCTTAAGCCAACTAGAAAAGGGGCAATTGCTTGGTGAGAGAGCCCTTAGTGGCTATTTTATCCTCATTTATCCCCCAAGGTTCCAAGGATCCACGGTGACAGTATATCCAAATCTCATCCCATGATCACATGCGTTACACTCACCTCCCCTTCAGAGATGTCAATGTCCTCATTGACTATTGACTAACAACCCCTACTGAGCCAAGGGGAACCAAGCACCTCCATTTCCGCACTCAATCTACCAATCCTTCCATTGTGTCAATGAGGACATTGACTAACAACCCCTACTGAGCCAAGGGGAACCAAGCACCTCCATTTCTGCACTCAATCTACCAATCCTTCCATTGTGTAAACCAGCTATTCCATGTGAGGCAACTAGTCATCCACCCGTACCGCAGTCCTCCATGTGAGGCAACTAGTCATCCACCCGTACCGCAGTCCCACGGTGGATACCTTCGTCCATGGATACTCCACACAAGAGGAAGGACGTACGCATGGATGCCCAATACGTACGATTTCAAATTTAGGGGTAGGAATATACCTTGCTCAAGGGTATATTATATTTTTAAGTAGCCACTAATAAATGGGAATCGAACCCGTGCCATTTGCTCCGATACCAACTGTAGCGCACCTTATCTCTCTCCCCTTAAGCCAACTGGAAAAGGGGCAATTGCTTGATGAGAGAGCCCTTAGTGGCTATTTTATCCCCATTTATCCCCCAAGGTTCCAAGGATCCACAGTGACAGTATACCCAAATCTCATCCCATGATCACATGCGCTACACTGCTGCAGTGGAAGGTCTGGACACCGAGATGCATCCGGGAAACGAGGAGTCGCACGAGTAACAGAAGGACCTTGCGCGAATAAATCAGTGACCCTCCATCTTTCTTTTGGGAGTATCATCAAGGGGTTCACTCAGCATCAGTTCATCCAGTGTTTATTTTCCAAGCTCGTTTTTATAACAAGAGGTCTCCTATTATTCTCTCCGTGTTGGTTGATATAGGTTCGAGTTTATCTTCTATTGCTCGACCTGTTGCCACACGTTGTTGTCTACACTTGCGTTGTGTGGCAGAACCAATTTTCATTCTTTATGGCAACGGCCGTACACATGCATGTGCACGGGATGAGGTGGACCTGGTTGTGCGTGTGGGCGATCTCGAGCTTGAGTTGCAGTCGTTGCGGGTGGTGCCGAGTTAAGCTTTTGACCTCATTCTTAGTATGGATTGGTTGCAGCGCAATCATGCCAAGTGTGACTTTGAGGCTTCTCCCCCTTATCTCATACTTCTTTATGTTTCATCCATTCCTCTCACTTCCATACCTCTTCGTCCCTCTACTTTTATCTTTGCTTCCATTACTTTTGTTCCCCCACTATTTCCTCTTGTGTCTCCATCTTGTTCTGCTCTTCCCTTTTCCGATCCCTCCGATGATCTTTGTGTTGCAGCTGTTGACCAGCTCATGAAGGAGTATTCTGATCTCTTTGACTTTGACCTATCGTCTGGGGCCAAGATTGCCACACGTCATCCCATTTCAACCGGGGATGCTCGTCCAATCAAGGTTCCTGTTCGTCGTCGGTCACCTAAGGAGATCAAGATTTTACATGCAAACGTCAAGGAGATGTTGGAGAAGGGTGTTATTCGAAAATCGCGGAGTTCTTGGGCATGTGAACCTCATCTTGTGACAAAGCCTGATGGGAG